TTGATTCCAAACTTATTGACATAAATTCATGAAATAGTATTTCAATAAAATTTTGAATGCAAGTCAACAAACTTGATGGCATGGCCTTTCACCCGTGATCCATCTGGAAAGGGTTAAATTCTGACAAAATTCAAGGATAAATTTTAAAAATAGGTATGTAATTATTGTTTCAAATAATTTTTTTCTGCTGCAGTAATTACTGAAATAATAACGAATTTCACCCTTTTTGTAAGTAGTTTAAAATAGATCTTTTAGTCAAATATATTCAGGTAATGTTTCTAAATGTTCATCCAGATGTTCTGTGTGTTGTGTGAAATTTTTGTTAACCAGATATTGTAAGGTAATAAAGGTAATAAGGTAATCCTTTTACTCAGGTAAAGGTTGCTTATGTCAGCTTTTAAAAACTATCACTTTAGCCCTGTGTCTGTCTTCCCTGGGAGAGGGTGAGTCCATCTCAAGGATGAAACGAGTGCTGTTGCATATTAAAATGAGTTAAGGGTTTTTTGTCCCCTATAAATATTGTTTGGATTAATCGATGATGATGAAGACTGGATTCTAGTCTATCACATTTTGAATGTTTTTGTCTAATTATTTATACTTGCTCTATAAGTCAGTATTCCCTTTTTTGTTTATCTTATGAATACATGTTATAGAATTATTTTTCTTATCTAGTGCTTACATGTGCTAGTAAAGATTCCTCTCAACCCCAGCAACCAATTTTGAAAAAAAAAAACGTGCTTCACTTGCTCACTGGTATTTGTTTCTTTCCATTACTGTCCAACTCCAGAATTATTCTCTGCAGTACATTTCCTGAATCTACATTTTTGAATTTTACTGTTAGACATGATTGTACGTGAATACCATGCTAATACTGAATTTGACCCTTCATGAAAGAAGTATATGTATGACATCCAAAAATTGTATCATTTACTTTTATTTTACGCTTTTACAATGTCTGTTTCATTTTCACCATTTCTGTAAAGTGTACAAGTTCTCTAAAATAATGGCAAAGAAAAAATTTGTTTCATGTGTTATAAATACTCAGTTATTCTTATGCCAGTGAAACCAGTCTTAAGGATTACACCAGACAAAGAATAACTGTTTATTTCTGTAACTCTTAATTACTTAACAAACATGATTTTTTTTTCTGAGAGATCTATTTGATATTATTGTACAAAAGATTGGTGTGAATCTCAAATAATATTTGTTGTAAGACCATCTAATGCAAGACTAAATAAATATAACAAGCTTAAGGAAGAAATTTCCAATGAAATTGCTAGTGTGATATAAAAAGAACAACCAACCAATGATAATGGTATTTTCTGATAAAACTGATTTCCCTAAAGAATAAATTAGATAGGTTGACTATATAACAGGAGAATCAGCAGGATATATCACTAAGTGATATTGAATTTAGCTAAAACTAACTGAGTTTGAGCAGATAAATAAATGGACTGGACACAGTTTGTAGTACACAATGAAATCAGTCTATTATTTATATCAAGGACACAAAAACACAATATGAGTACATTTTTCTGGAGGCTGGATAGTCATGAATCACTTAAACTGCCATTATGTCCTCAAAAGTTATTTCTTCTAACCAACTAACTCAAGGGCCAGTACATGAATGTTTAAATCTAATATTTTTTACTTAATGGGAAACTTTGGATTTACTCATAGTGACCAGTGGTATCCATGTTAATAGTCACTCTCATCTGGTTTACCATTGAGGGACAATCACTGTTGATATTCTTGCTCAACATGCAGCACTACAGCCCTTTCATCCATGAGCAGAACAGATGTTATCTCCATAGAACAACAAAGGAACAAACAGCTAGAATGAGATCAACTTAATGACTTTCATGACCACATGTTATTTGGAAACTGCATGCATAGACTTAGAATAAATGAAAAATTTATAGGACTCTTTCAAAAAACTTGTTTTATATATGCATTGTTTAAACAGCTGTTATGCACAACAAGTCAGTTATCTAGTTTTCAGTATTATTTGAGAAAATATATGAAGAAGTGTTGTTTTTTATACATATTTTTGTAATTAATGTTTGCAGATGACACAATACTTTAAGGCTATGGCAGGTGGTGAATACCTTGGTTTCAATAATGCCACGTAAGTGTAGTATATTTTTTCCCAGAGCAGGAAGTAACCGATTACTAGTTTTTAAGATATGTGAACTGCAATTAATCAGCATTAGTTAAGTATGTTAGTAACTTCTTTTTTTTTACTGAGTTACAGAGAAAAACAGGGAATGGAGATTTTTGTCAATTTATGTTGTGTTTTTTTCAAATTTGTACCTGTTTTATTCTTAACTAGTGCTTTAATTTTGTGAGATTTGAAAAGTTTAAAAGATATATATTAAAGATCCCAGTAAATATACAAATTTTAGGTAAATCGTGTACTTTATGTGAGATGGTTATTAGCTTTGTGCAATTTAAGTAAAAAAACAAACAAAAATACATTATCAATTGTCAGATAAAAAATAAGCTGTTTTGTCATACCAATTCAGTTTTAATACATTTATTAAGCTAAAAATTTGTAATACCTAGATGTGTAGAAAATGTTTTTCATAAATCTTCAGTTTAACATGTGTAGTTTGACACATGCAGCAATGCATTCATGTGTAAATATATAAATCACTAGTAGTACAAATTCTAGTTTTTAGATGTATGGAGTTATCCTGTATATTAGAAAAGGGTGATATAGCTAAAAACTGTTTTTTCTTCACTGTTGTCATTAGATTTCTTTCAGAGCGAGAAGCTGCAGATCGGAACTATGCCATAGGTTTTTACATGAAGGAAAACAAATGTTTCCCAGAAAAAGCAATGTTAAAAGAAATAATGGACTTTTATTTCCAGGTATACTAATCTTTGATAAGACTACATTATGCTTGCTGTGTGGGAAATTAGAAATACCCTAAAAAAGTTATTCTTAAGGTAGTTTATAGACCCTTTTTCACACCTTTCTTTGTGACATTTTGATATTTTTCTTGCTACATTTTCAGTAATGCCTCTCACACCCATGTTTGTATGTGTATTATATTTAAATCATTAGCAACTCTTATGACATAAGTTTTCAGGTGTATGTCGTGCTTTGTTTGCTTGATTCTTTTATTGTAAATTTTGTCATTGAGTTTATCGTATAATTACTTCTAAAATATCATTACTGTGCCCATATTTATAATTAGTATTAAGATTTCTAACTTTTTATACATGAAGCTTGAGATAAATTAACTTTATCTTTGCATATTATTTCATCAAATTTTTGCACCTGGTCTTGTGTTTATTATTCAATTTTTTAGATGTGTTCTCTGGAAGTAAACAGTGAAACCATCTGTATTATGGCTGCCACTCTTGCCAATGGAGGTATCTGTCCAATCACAGGCCAGCAAGTAATTGATAGTCATGCTGCTCGTGATGTCCTTTCATTGATGCATTCTTGTGGAATGTATGATTATTCTGGCCAATTTGCATTTAAGGTAAAAACTAAATATTTTTTTTCTATACATTTTTGGTATCTGTATGAGTAGTTTAGAGTATAATCCATAATTTTACTGGTGTGGCTAGTAAGATAACTATCTAAAAATACTTTGAAAATGAAAAATCCATTATCGTACTGAAAAAAAGTAGTAATATAGAATCTGTGAACTTTAGTGAAATAATTATATTTATTGCAAACCACATCATGATTTTTGTGCTTTAAGATTGTTACGTATTAGAATTTCAAATAGCCTAAAATTGAGTTAACTGATAAATTTAAATAGAGTAGTTAAATTGTACTTTGGATTTAGCAGTTAACTAAAAGCCG